CACTTTTACAGTAAATATTTTGCAATAGATTGAGCTAGTATTTTTTCCACCAAATGAAAGAACATAATCTTGTATCTTTTAATCACATTTGATTAAAAGAGTCTGCTATGTGTAACCAGTAGATTGATTGAGAACTGAAGTATACATAAACAAGGCATCACAATTGATACAAATCCCCTCTCATTCACACATTGTGACATATGAGGAAATGAAATGGCTAGAGTGATGACAAAGTTTTTTTCTAAAAATAGTAACAGTGACCTTGACCTCCAATGTAGAAATTTGAAAGGAGAAGTTGTTCAAGGCATTGCCATACCAAACATTTGTATGAAGTTTCACGAAATTCCATTTAGGAATGAAGTCGATAGAGCGATGACAAAGTTTTTCTAAAAATAGTTAAATTGACCTTGACCTTTAACACAGTAATCCGAAACGCGAACTTGTTCAAGACATTGCCATCCCTAACACTTTTTCAAGTGTCATGAAATTCCGTTGAGGAATGAAGTCGCCAGAGTGATGACAAAGAGTGTAACATACGTATGTACGTACATACGGGCAGAATCCTATATCCCCTCGAACTTCCGTTGCGAGGGGATAATACAGATATGTACATGTTACATTCCTCCCACTTACCTTGGCCAAGTTTGTTCACGTAGAACTTCATTTCTGCTATAAAGCTCCTACAGAAGGATAATAAAAATTGGAAACAAGCACCTACAGAAGGATAATAAAAATTGGAAACAAGCATATGTTACAATTCATCATATGTACTTAATGACTTACTTTTTGAAACTGATAATCAGCGTGTTAAAATAAGTTCCGCTGTATAATGTTAGAATAATATTGGGGATTCTAAATATAACTCCAAACTCAGTGTGACATTAATACCAGCATTTCCCCTGGGTTTTGAAGAAATTAACATCTATGTTTTATAATAGTTGTACAGGTCAATTCAACAGCAATGAAAGGACAGGAAATATATAAATGTAATCAGTCATTAATACATGACTGTGAACAATGCAAAAGCATGTAACATTTCAATGAACTTCAATAATGAGTTACCCTTCAAATCCATGGTGACCATTATAAATTGATTAGGATGTTAAATATCAATCATATTAATCGAAAAAGATGACAATGACTGGGTTTAACAGCTCTGATCCAAATGCTGAATAGTTTTTACACATTAGATTTATAATATTACATCAAAAGCTAACTTATTTTCAACCTAATGTCTAACAATATTGTTTGCTACCACAAAATCAAGTAATTTGCACTATCATTTGTTCTGAAACAAGCTGCCTCAAAGCTGAGGTTCTTTATAATAATTATTTCAGAGTTCCCTTTATATATTAAAATAGTAATCAGGTTAGGTATTAGGTACACAAACATACCACTATAATGATCACTTTAAGATATTTATCGGGACACAGTTAATTAAAACCTGTTAAATATAACTTCAAAATTGAAATTCATATCTTTGAACTGGCCCCAGTACTTTAAACTAACTTGTGTGTATTGTACTTACCCGTGGTGATTCCATAGATCAGTGGGACAGCCTGGTGGGGTACATGTTCCTGGTTCTCAGTTTGCTCACCAGATGGCACTGGCAGCTGTTACCCATGACAACACAACTCTTTGGTTAGACGAATGATAAATAGAAGTTTAACCATTGCCTTAATGGTGAAAGTTTCCTGACTAAATACTTTTAATATATCCATAAAATGTTGATCTTTGTAAAGAATCCATTGCTTGCTAGGTGTAAACCACCATACAGGCAATGTGTTGTGAACCTGACATCTTGTAACCCCTTTACTCTTGTTTACCCTGGTACTCAAAACACAGTGCAAAATCATAAACCTTTAGGATTTTAAGACAGAAAACTTTGTATTTCTTATTGTAAATGGAGATATCAATGGTTTATATACTGCACCAGACTGTAAAACAAGCTTGAAAATATCTAACTCAAACAAATTGCTAGATATCCAATATTGTTGATTATTTCTATTAATTTTTAACTGTAGACAAAATAATTAATAAATAATAAATAATAAAGTATGATACTCCATAGGCACTAACTACATGATCTGTGCATTTCTCTTATCTTGTCACAACCAGCTTTATTGTTTCAATATCAACTGTGTTTGTGATACTGTTATTGTGACTACTGGTACTATACACATAGTAATTTTCACTCATGTTGTTTTCATGGTTTTCACAGCACAAATCAGATAACAGTAAATATTTCTTGAAGTAGCCCACATACAGAACAATTTCAAAAAGTGCAAATTCAGAACTAATAAACTTTTGTTTTCATGTAAACATGAAGGTTACACTTCCTGGTATAAAAGATGTATACATTATCACTGCCATTCGAGCAGTTGTGTAACTGTTTCACTAACCAAGCCACCTTAAATTAAAGTGAATCAGCTGCATTAGTGAAGTGTGGTAATTTTTCATGAGTTATCTCCTTTTTCTAAGAAAACATTCCATACATATTACGGATATTATTGACACAAACAATGAAAATTGGATGCATGGTCCAACTATTGATAGGGCATCTGAGTGTGTACACAGGGTAACAAGAGTCTAGGCTGAAAACAAGTTGTGTTTTTTCTGATCTATTTTTGAGTGAACAAGTCTAACCAGAGAGTTGGGTGTAGTGACAGTGATACAAGCTGTACCCCACCAGACTGTATCATCAGGTCTATATTTAGATAAGGCCATACCCCTCTGACATTTCAGGCCTCACTGTTTAAATATTTGATAGTTCTAACATGGTGTTGTCATATGTAATATCCTCTATCATATGAAATGTTACAATTCTTTTTAAAAAAATCTGCTCAACATTTCGTAAAAATTCTGATGAAGGGAAGAAATGTCTACAAGATTAGTGTTTAAACTTATGTTACTGTATAAACAGGTATGCTAGGTTATATCACTGACGACACTGACAGCACCATGTTACTACTAGGTCTCTAGATATTCACTTTAATAGAGAGCTGCTCCTATGACAGTCTATAGGATAAGCTCTATATCTCAATTTGATAGTTTCCCTATAAAGCTTGTAAGCAAAAAAGCCATGTCTCCTCCTTCATAATACCAAGGTCAAGACCAACATCACTGTCAAGTGTTCAAAACCAGTACATTTTACCTGGACAATTCTATCAATTTCTAATTGTGACATAACACAAGAGTGAAATACAGCATTGATTTCAAAAAGAAACGCATCAATTTTTAAAGTAAAAATATAAAAGTATTTTGCTTCTGAAAATCAAATATTTCTGGAGAATAAATCATAAAATGTCACCAAGTAAACAATTCTCAATAAATACAGATTTGAAAATGAATAATGAAAAGATATATTTATTTTTCAAAACTTTTCTATGAAAATACAACACCCACATTAAAAAGGCCTTTGGACTTTCTATTCAAATATACTGTAAATCTATAAAAGTTAACAGTCATCCTCGTTATACACGATTCTAAATGTTTCTTTTCTGTTCAGACATTATAAAAACCAATGATTTGACCTTGACATGCATAAAGTGTGATATTGATCAAGTTACCTGTTGTGATCGGGTCCCACCATGCTGTACTTGTAGTCTGTCTGTATCTTGTTTACCTGTAGGAACTGGTGCAAACGACTCTTAGCATTCTCCAGGGTCCAGTGCCCATGGATATCTGCATTAAAATCTACATCTTCAGACTGAAATGAAGAAAAAATCAAATATAATTTACTCAATAACAGAAATTACATGTTAATGTCAACAGATCGACTAGTGTAACCCTATATCTGTTCTTGATAAATTTTGAAAGTCAATGAGCTCAGTTTCACTTGGAATCTCACTGAAGTTTCAATTCTTATAACAGAAAAAAATCACTTCTAGTATGGGGTACAATAACGATTCAACGAAGTCTTTCTTTGCTTTATATTTCAAGGAGTTATAGAATTTAAGTTACTTATTCTGTTACCAAACTCTGACAGTGATAATCGGTCTAAAGTGAAAATCTAGTTGACAGTAATTTACCACTCATACTCTGACAAACATAAGATATATCATACTTTTAACTAATGCTCAACAACTCTGATTACCTTCTCTAGTTTATGCTTCATATTTACTGTATATCAGAAATTTATTTACCTCCCCTAGTTTATGTTGCACCCTTACTGTATATCAGATGTTATTTACCTCCCCTAGTTTATGTTGCACACTTACTGTATATCAGATGTTATTTACCTCCCCTAGTTTATGTTGCACACTTACTGTATATCAGATGTTATTTACCTCCCCTAGTTTATGTTGCACACTTACTGTATATCAGATGTTATTTACCTCCCCTAGTTTATGTTGCACACTTACTGTATATCAGATGTTATTTACCTCCCCTAGTTTATATTGCACACTTACTGTATATCAGATGTTATTTACCTCCCCTAGTTTATATTGCACACTTACTGTATATCAGATTTAATTTACCTCCCCTAGTTTATGTTGCACACTTACTGTATATCAGATGTTATTTACCTCCCCTAGTTTATGTTGCACACTTACTGTATATCAGAAGTTATTTACCTCCCCTAGTTTATGTTGCACACTTACTGTATATCACATGTTATTTACCTCCCCTGGTTTATGTTGCACACTTACTGTGTATCAGATTTTATTTACCTCCCCTGGTTTATGTTGCACACCTACTGTATATCAGATTGTATTTACCTCCCCTAGTTTATGTTGCACACTTAGTGTATATCAGATTCAATGTACCTCCCCTAGTTTATGCTTCACACTTACAGTATATTAAATTGTATTAACCTCCCCTAGTTTATGCTTCACACTTACTGTATATCAGATTTTATTTACCTCCCCTAGTTTATGCTTCACACTTACAGTATATATAATTGTATTTACCTCCCCTAGTTTATGCTTCACACTTAATGTATATCAGATTTTATTTACCTCCCCCAGTTTATGCTTCACACTTACTGTATATCAGATTTTATTTACCTCCCCTGGCTTATGTTGCACACTTATTGTATATAAAATTGTATTAACCTCCCCTAGTTTATGCTTCACACTAACTGTATATCAAATTGAATTAACCTCCCCTAGTTTATGTTGCACACTTACTGTACATCAAATTGTATTTATCTCCCCTGGCTTATGTTGCACACTTACTGTATATCAGATTTTATTTACCTCCCCTGGCTTATGTTGCACACTTACTGTATCAGATGTTATTTACATCCCCTTGTTTATGTTGCACACTTACTGTATATCAGATTGTATTTACCTCCCCTAGTTTATGTTGCACACTTACTGTATATCAGATGTTATTTACCTCCCCTTGTTTATGTTGCACACTTACTGTACATCAGATGTTATTTACCTCCCCTAGTTTATATTGCACACTTACTGTACATCAGATGTTATTTACCTCCCCTAGTTTATGTTGCACACTTACTGTACATCAGATGTTATTTACCTCCCCTAGTTTATGTTGCACACTTACTGTACATCAGATGTTATTTAC